TTTGAACAATTCAATGAATAAGTTTCTGAATAATTTCGAAATTCAATTGTTTTAGTAAATATTTGATCAGGTGCTTATTCTACTTCAAGAAGTATTTATTACTATTCATTTGTTGCCTTCAGGTACCTGACATTTGTGTTTTGTTGTTAATTAGTGTTGATATTATTTTTTTTCTTTATGGAAAAATTTATAGAAATATTCCTTAAATAGGAACTATTTTTATATGAAAAATCCATAGCCACTATTAAAACTCAATGTTTTTGTGATTTTTTAAGCATTTTTGAAAATTTTAAATCTATACATCATGAATTATTTTGAGGGCAAAGGAATGAGGGATTTGATGAGCTCATGAAATACAGGGTGTTCCATTTAAAAAATTATAAGTTAGAGGTCGTATCTGCAAAACCGTACCCCGAAAAAAAATATTAGTACGCCACTGGATTCTGCGTAAAATTCTCTATGGGATAAGATTTCAATTTGTCATTTTCGCTAAGAAACTTCGTAGATATAGAGGGGGTTCAAAAAGTATAAATTTAAAAAATCGCCCTGTATCTCGTAAACGGAAACAGTTATGCAAAATCTCATTAGGCCATCTTGAGTTTCACAAAAAAAGTGACCCAAGACTGCGAAAACCGCAAGGTTCTATCTCCAAAGATAACCGAGATATCACGCAAAAGCATGGAAAACTGGACACACTGTACAGGGTGAGCCAAATTGAACACTTTTAAAGGGAAAGTCCTATTCTTGTACTAGATAGAAAAAAAGTGATGTCGGTGCCTGTTGATCAATTCACATGAAAAACTCAATGGTAAAAACTGCATATCGATATCTATCTTCGTTTCAGAATTACAAGGTGTTTTTCGAAAATAGTAATTTTCGAAAAGTGACAAAAATTCTTCGTTTCCATAAAAACGTTTCCAAAGCATTGTGTTTGTCATGAAAATTGATCCTCAGGCACTGAAATTATTCACCATATACCTAGTTTAAAAATTAGTGCCTCAGGAATGATTGCATTCACAAACTAAATGCTTTGCAGTTATTTTCATGAGAACATACAATTTTTGCCAAAAAAATATTGATCATTCTAGAACACGTGATTTTGACATGGTTTCTTGAGGGGCACACAAACTATCTGTTAGAGGTTACCTTTGATGAGCATATCCATGGCTATCCCTGCCACATCTACAATATATATAATAACAGTTTCACCAAACACAATTATGAAATTCTTTCTGGTTCCAACTCGAATTCCAAGGAAAACGATCCCACTTATTCTGGTTTCATATGACATATCTTGACAAAATACAATGTTTGCCCCTCAGCATCCTGTCAAATGACGTAATTCTGGAATGATTCTTTTGTAGCTACGTTTTAAAAATGCCCATTTTGGAAGGACACCTTGTAACTCCGAAACGAAGACAGATATCGATATGCGGTTTTCACCATTGAATTTTGCATGAGAATCGACCCTCAGGCCCCGACATCAGTTTTCTTCTATCTAGTACGGGAATAGGACTTTCCCTTTAAAAATAACCAATTTGGCCCACCCTGTACAATTTCGTTCGATTTTGACATTTTGATAATGTAGGAAAACTACAGAACTATGATTTCTGCTAATATATTATGGTGTATGCTGAATGATGTTCATGAATGCGGTTATTCAACATTTTACTTGTCTGACCAATCTATACCTTACGACAAAATTCATCAAATCCTCGCTCTATGAATTTTCCTTTTATGACAAATCAACTTCTTTTGAAACTTCACCATATTATTATGATGATAATGACATTTTTCCCATTTTGATAAAATCGCATCCTTTATTGCAAAATTGCAATCGATATTTGGTGTTTCTTCATTTTGCCAAAAGAGCTTCTCTATAATGGATGAATTCATTTTGAACACGAAAAATTCCCATCAGTGATTTTGCTCGAAAAGTTGAGGTGAAAATGTCAGTTTTTTTTTTAATCAATGATTGGCAAACTCAAAACGTTACAAATAAAGATTGGTCCGTTAAAGAGTGCTTAGCTAACAAAAAATTCAGAGCAAAAGTAATAAATCATCACCAAGGATTTTTCAATTATATAAAATTAGAGGAAAAATGTTGTTATCCAAATGACATTAAAAGTTGCTTTTCAATGAGCAGGAAATATGTACTTTCTCTGCCTAGGCAATCGGTAATGATGGATAATTTGGACTTTGGGAAGAGTTTGAAGAAAAAATTATATATTTCCCATGAAAGAAGAGCAGATTTAATGCCACGGCTACCCTTTGGATATAAAACGCCAGCCGCAGCATTAAATCTTGTTCTTTTCTGCCTAATAAACAAATTACTATTTTGAATTATTGGAATTGGATAATTTTTCCGGATTTATTACATAAATCACTTTCACAGCACTGTTTTTCCAAAAATGCGTTAAATCTTGCTTAGTTAGCCTTTTAGGAAATAAAAATAAATGACAGTCAAAGCAGTGTCAAAAAAGAACGAAATAATGCAATATCCCGTTTGAAGCTGGTTGGAAATCAAACGAAAACAAAAAAAAAACTGTTAACAATGAACAACTCATGAGACAGTAGATGATAATCAATGAAAAAGAAAATGAGAGAGATGTTATTCAACCCCAGTCCAGAAAAAGTGTTAGTCGGCATTTTTCTTACATACTATGAAACGGTGTCAATCATTTTGGATGCTCTTGGCGAATACCCTACTCAGCATCGTTTCCAACCAAGTACTGCTGATATAAGATCTTTGCTCTTCGAGATTCTCCCAATGCACCACATCCCTACCGGAGTTACCCAAGAAGTTATCCAAACCGATAAAAATTGACAGGATCATTTAATCGCTTACAGGGTGAGGAAATTTCGGCGATGTTTATTCATCTGGGCCCTAGATTCTAGGGTAACTCGGTAACATTAGGAAACAGAAAAAAGTTACTCTTTTACGCTGGCGCAAACGAAAATTTGCTGTCATCCTTTGTTTTTGAATTATAAACAAAACCTTGATTTTTCGTCTTTTGTCTATAACTCGTAAACAGAAGATGATAGTGAATTACATACAAAGATCGTGAATATCACTTTCATTTCTTTGTATCTCCCAGAGTTACCGATAAAAAGATCGAAATTTTCCCACCCTGTACAGGGTGCACCTCTTGAAATGGAACCCCCCCTTTAAGTCTTTCGTTTTCAGAGATGTGAAAAATGTTGAATTAAAAAGTTGTTTGAAACGACCCAAACTTTCATTTCGTGAAGTTGCTCCGTATTTCGTTTTTCCGGAAAGGACATTAACTTTGTTTTTTTTTTCTATGGAACACCCTATATATTTTCTGACATGTCGAGCCTTTTTTTTCTGATTTCAAAAACATAACATGAATTTTGATCATCAATAACTCAACTATTTTTCATCCAAATATGCAACTCATATATACAGGGTGAGTCATTAGTGTGGCAAAGTGAGATAACGGCTTTACTGTTTGAGATAGATGACCAAAAATTTCAGAGATGATCTAGGATCATGAGCAGCACATTTCCAAATTATTTCGTTTTATACAGGGTGATTCAGAAATGCGTGGCGTATCAAAGTTATACTTTTTCTTATGGGACACCCTGTATTTCATTGCATTTCCGCATTCTCCTTTGTGAGCTGATTTCATCAATGCATCACACTTGTGGTCTAGCGAGAATGATCGGAGGTATAGGGTGTTCAAAATCGAGATTTTACAACTTAGGGATTTTTTTGCGACGAAACTATTCATTTTTTATCAAAACGGCTTGCATGTCCCTATTCCAACTTTTGGTTTACTGACATTTAATTGGAACAGATACAAGGGTGATCAGAATGCTGAATCTTGAACCACTCTGTATTTGTTCCAATTAAATGTCAGTAGATAGTAAATCAAAAGTTGAGATAGGGACATGAAAGCCGTTTTGACCAATAATGGATAGTTTCGACGCAAAATAATCCTAAAGTTGAAAAATCTCGATTTTGAACACCCTATATCTGTGTAATCATTCTCGCCAGACCCAAAGTGCGATGCTATGATGAAATCAGCTCACAAAGGAGAATGCGAAAATGCAATGAATTACAGGGTGTCCCATAAGAAAAAGTTTATCTTTGATACCACGCATTTGTGAGTCACCCTGTATGAAGCGGAATAATTTCGAAATGTACTGCTCATGATCCTAGATCATCTCTGGAATTTTTGTTCATCTATCTCAAATAGTAAAGCCGTTATCTCACTTTGCCACACTAATGACTCACCCTGTATTTTTGAAATCAGAAAAGTTGATGTCCTTCCTGGAAATACGAATGACCCTGCACATGAAACAACTTCACGAAATGAAAGTTTGGGTCGTTTGACACGACTTTTTCTTTCGACATTTTTTCATATCTCTGAAAACGAAAGATTTACGGGTATTCCATTTTATGAGGCACACCCTGTCGTTGTACGTTGAATTTCCCAAGGACCAAATTTAATTTTTCAAAATTCAGGATCAAAATTATTTACTACTATGGATTTCTAGAGTTTCCTTTCTGTGTAAGTTCGAGTGCTTACTTTTCTTTGAGAACAAATTGCACAACTTCCGACAAAAACAGCCACGCCAAAATATATTTTTTGATCCAACAGTTGCCTTTCCCTGTCAGAAAAAAAACATTGCCGAGGAATCCATGTTGCCCAAGCTGGACCTTATTTCAATAAAGTTGGTTCCAATTCATCTTCTTTCCTGAATATTTCGCTCCTTATTTATGATATTTTAAAGAAATTTCAAATATCTTCCAGCAATTTCAAAAACATCAAGGTCATGAGGCAAAAAATCAAGTACTCTTTTTTATCCAGACAATAATTATTATTATACAGAACTATGTAATGTTTTATGAGATTTAATAACTATACAGAACATTTTTTGACATCGTGAGAGTCGATGTCAATTGTCATTACTGAATATTATCAAGATTTTTCAGCAATGGCAATTTTTCATTTTATGAAATTTTAATATTTTTTGAAAGCATAGAAAGAAGGATCAATTATTTCATGAGTATATCACAAATCAAACTATTGATTCATTAGTCACAGTTGAGACAAAGGTTTCATCCCTTGCAGTTAATTATTAAAAAATTATCCAGTATGTAATATTATCCGGCAAAATTGCAAATGTTCACGAAATTTGCCGATGATTTTTTCAACAAAAAGCTGAACGACAAAAATATGTTGGCGTAGCTGCCGCATCATCAAGACGACACAAAGCAAACAAGCCAAAGGAAAAACTCAAAGTTATCCCAACAAAACTCACTTCATCTCACGCACCCACATTCACACGAAAATTATGTACAACAACCAAAAAATCTCACTAATATATTCCTGACACGTTCAATCGGACCAAAAAATAAATAATAGTCAAAGTACAGTACAGTACTCTTCTGCTGACCTACCGATCACTACTCTCGCTCTCGTTGCGACTCGAACCAGCCGAAACAACTTTCTCCACGTTGACGCTATCCACGAAAACGTTGTCCACAATCCCGCTATCCTCCGCAAAGTGTTTTTCCTCCTCCTCCTCCATCAAAATCCCCGCTCCGTCCGTCTCGTCCCTCTCCAATATCACCGGGTGGGCGGAGACCGTAGGCGGGGCCAGAGCGGGGTGGGCGGCGACCGTGGGCGTCGCTAGGGGCGTGGCCGCGACTGCCGATTGGCTACGCGTCATGCGCCACGCCTCTTCTCGGGCGCCGGGCGGTCTAGGCAGGTAGACGCTTTGTGTGACGTCTTTGGTGGGGGGCGGTTTCACTTTCACCCGGAAGAACTTCGTGTTCACTGGGACTTTGTAGCGGTTTTCCGACTGGAAACGAACGGTCGATCAATGAGGGCCAACATATTTTGACTGCCAGCAGATCAATTCAAAGGAATTCCAATACCTAGATCCTCTCCCTGTTCTCCCAAGGTACGTACGATGAGAAAAAATGAGACGTGAGGTCACAGTTGGTACAACTTTTAGGTAAGCATACCTTCTTTTTTTTGTGTCATTTGAACTCTTCCTGAAATATCTTCTTCTTTTTTAATGTAAAAACCGCATTGACAGTTCCATATTTAGAGTGAAAACGCAAGACTGATCAAGTCTGACCATAGCTTTTCCATTTGTTCACATAAGCCACATCATTTCTTTTTCTTTTTTTTTTTTTTTTTTTTGGGGAAATTTCCGAACAAAACTACCTCACCTTCAATCCCAACCCAGCGACATAGTCCGAGTGAAAGATTTGTTAGATATAGTTATAAAATGGAATGTATGAAGAATATCAATTCTCTGGCAATGATCCCGCGAGTTATCCCCACCATTCGGGATTTTATTCATTTGTCCGTGTTTGGCTTAAGGACACCAAAATCAATAAATAAAGGAGGATTACAATATGAATTGCAATTCCTATATCAACCTTGATTTCATCATCATATGACCACACAAATACATTATATCGAAGGCTGGAACCTTTGGAACGATAATCCACTACACTGTTTCACCAATAATCAAACCAATTTTTCAAACGCCTTGACACGTGTTTCGCTAACCATGTTAGCACCAGGAGAAGATAAAAACATTTTAATCTCCTCCTGGTTAGTGGTGAAACAATGTAGTGCATACAAATACACTATCTATCTATCAAGTATCGAACATATTGGTCCTTCGAGCAGGATCTATTCAAATCAAACCTTCATGACTGCCAAGTTTTTCATTTGGAGGATAGAGAGGATAGAGAGCAGCACTCAAGACTACCTGGATTAATAGGGAATGGCTAGCAGCTGCAGCTTTCACAGGTAGCAACAAGTAGTTAAGTGAATAGTTGGCGTGTACTTTTCAATGATTCATGGATGAATCGAGGTGTATTTCTATTGTTATTTAGCCTGAACACTCACCCTCAAAAAACGTACAAGTGTCTGTTAGTATCTCCACCAATCACGATTTCAATCATTTATCCGTATTTGGTGTTTAGGATCGCTGGCGTATACTCATTTTGTGAGAAAAAAAAATAAAAATATCCAACTTGAACTTTACTGAAGTAAATACAATCCATACTCATGAAACGAGACAGTTGAATTCATTAATAGCAAACCCATATGACTCCATTATTGGCAAACAATCAGTATTCTACAACAGAATAATTTTATATAATTCATAACCTCATGATTTGAAACATATTGATGATGAAACAAGATTCAAAGTTAATATGAGAAAATATATACTCATGACACTATAAACAGAGCAATTTATTCTCATTTGAATACTTGGAATGATTTGATTTTAATTATTATGTTATATTGACATAACTCGTTAATTAGATGTTTTTTTATTGTTATATATATAATAAGTTTATATATCCCTATTATAAACAAATATGTTTCTTGTAGTAATAAAGAACAACAATATTCAATTTGATTATCAGTTCTATATATTTTAGGGCGTAATAGGCCTTGCCTCTGCCTTTGTTCAAATTTGATGAGAAAATATTAATAATAATAATGATAATGATAATAATTATCCCCACCATTCGCGATTTAATTCATTTATCCGTGTTTGCGTTCAGAATTGTTGGCAGTGTCTATCTATAGTTATTTAGTGTGCATTTTTCACTTTTTTTGTATATTTTCAGGATTTTCATCAATGTTGCGTCATGAAGGAGAGAAAAAAACGTACCTTCCTGGCAGAGCAGTACTCCTTATCGACCACCTCCCCGATGACGTGCAACTTGTTCGGCCTGCCCTCCTTGACCTCCAACCCCAACCCGGCCACATAATCAGAGTGCAGGAAGTACAGGTGCCGGTTCTCTTGCAGCACCTTGAAGTTTTCGTAGTCGGGGTCCCACATGACCACCACCAGATCGTCGGGTTTGCACGAGTCGACGCTTATTTTGGACGGCCTGAGGGGAGCGATGTCGCTGCGGGACATGACGTCTTTGCGGGCAGTTGGAGGAGTGTTCGCTTTGCCTGTGGAAAGGAGATGTACTATATTGGTACCTGTATTAATAACCAGCCATGAAAAAATAAAAGTTTTCTCTTCGCTTCTATCTTCATTTCATCAGTTTTTATCAAACAAACAAACAGAGCATCAAACATATTGGTCCTTCGAGCCGGATGAATTTCCGCAATTCGGGCTAACTACTTCAATAATGGTTGAACGAAGTCTTCCTCTATTGAAACTAGTTGCCCAATTTTAGGTGAGCTAGATGCTTCCACTTTGTTCTTTGCTGAAGTTGATTGAGATACTCTGCAGACCAACGTTTGCAAAAATGCTGGGTGAGTTGTTGGAGTTTCTGGTCATGATTCAAACGATTTTCTAGTATCTCACGTACGTCTTCTTGGGAGATACAAGTAAACACTTCTCCAATCAGAAGATGACTTGAACACAGAGCAGTTAAATCGTTAGGATCGTTGGTTGATAGCGCCAACGGTCGAGAATTGAGTATTGCCTCAATCTAAGTCAGCACTGTATACAATTCCTCATAAGTTAAAGGTACATTCGAAAGTATTCTTCTCATATAATATTTTGCAGATTTAATTGCTGCCTTCCATATTCCAACTTTAGAACCCTGTATCTTGAAAACGAAGCATTTCAGGACCTATGTTTATATGAACTTTTCGTCTTGGAATCACCCGAATAATCGTCCCATGAAGTTTGGCCACATACTTAAATAACACCCTGTATAGGGTCAAAGTACTAAACATATTCTTAAAGAGAACCATCTGGTGCCAAGTTCATGGCTTTCATAGATATATCCTCCCACATATCCCCCCGAGCTTTCAAAATATCCCCGATCCCGATATTTCCGTCACCTCATACAGCACCAAAAAAACGAAACTCACCTTCGGCAACTCCTCGCAGCCTCACCATCTCCTCCTCCAGCTCCTGCCGCCTCTTCTCCAACACATCAACTCTACGCGCCAATTCGCTATCGCCGCTTTCGGCCCCGCTTTCCGCCAACTGCTGGATGGTGCTCCTGTACTTGACGCACTCCAAATTCAGGTTCCTCTCTCGCTCCCTCAACACGTCGATCTGCAAGTCCTTCTCCTCTGATACCCTCCTCGCCACCTTCAAATCAAAACAAAAATATCGTTAGCGACGATGTTCACATCACCCCACCCCGTAACTGAGAAGAACGCCTAATAAGGAATGCCTTATCACAAGCGGCTTCGACGACTCATCGGTATTCGTAATCATCGTATGATCGAAGATTCGAGCAAGTCTAGTCGATTAGCGTGGTATCATCCGAATCACCTTCCTATGTTATTTTTTATAAAAGGTCATCTTTGTTCAAGCCGTCCTGAGTGAATAAAAATGTGTTTGAGTCTTGAAATTGTGTCTATCTACGATGCCTCCATTTAGAATCTATTGATATACTTTTTCTGCAACCCACACAAAAGTCGTTCGAATGAAATATTTTCAAGAAAAAGATGAGAATATTTTTGTTCCAAAATCCATCCATTACAAAAAACATTTTTTGAAAACACAAAAAAATATATATAGGTATACCTATATAATAATAATAATACTAATGAAATATGCCGTCACCATTTCTCTCTCGTTCCCTCGCTCGCTCGCTCTCTCTCTCTCTCTCTCTCTCTCTCTCTCTCTCTCTCTCTCTCTCTCTCTCTCTCTCTCTCTTTCCGCACTACTCGCCTTATAGTACAGTATCATTATATGCATACCCCATCTGGACAACTCGGAAACACAAAACAAGTATCTGATACTTAGGTGTTTTTATTTTGTCAAAGAGGGGGTAATAATGGCTGAATAATGAATAAATATCCATATATGTATGTATGAAAATAAATCTGAAAAAATAAATCTGATATCGAACTAACCTCTCGCAGCTCCAAATCGGCCTCACGCGCTCTGATCTCGAGCAGCTTCTCCCACTTTTCCCGCTCACGCACCAACGCCTCGCTCACCGCCCTCTCCTTGTCCAGCTCGAAATTGTCCTGCATCTGCAGCAGCAGGGCTGCATGGCCAGGCAAGCTGTTAAAGTCCCCGGACCTGTCCAGGTTGGTCTCCGAGGGGCTGCGGTCCATATTCATGAGCTTGAAGCGCGACCTGATCAAAACGGTCAATGAATCTGTTGTGTTTATTTCAACAAAAACTTTTTTTTCTTTTCTAAATATCATAAGCCCCTTTTCTGCACGCCTCTGAAATTGTCAACATCATACTAATCAAGGGTATGACACCTCTTCAACTGTAACGATCAATAAAACTGTTGAATATTTCCAATACAAACGAATTCTTCATAAACCCCTTTTTGCGCGCTACTGGTGTTAATTATCGTCAGTAGAAATATCCCTTGTTGCAGTTTAGTTGTTGGTTGCTGTTGTTCAACTAAAAGAGGCCACATTTTGACATAAAAATGGAATTTCATAGAATGGCGATTTTTCCATAGCAACACAATTTATCGAAAAAATTTCAAAGACGTCTGGAGGTATCGGATCAACCATTCACCCAACATCTAAAAAAGAATTCTAGGGTCCCTCACATTTCACAAATTATTGGCCAAAAATTTTAAATTTTTCCGGCTCTCAATTCACACTCTGTACAAAGAGAACGAATCGCAAAAATGAAAATCCGACGACAATGACGCATAGCCCAAGGATGACGCTTTCAACCTTCGGTTGGTAATCCAACATCGGCCAAGAAATGTTCGAGTTATATCTTATCGAAATTAGTCAATTTTTTGGCTGTCCCACTTCATCTGATAAGTAGTTTATTCGACGTTGGGCGGCTCGGTGGTCGAGAGCGTGAATGCGCTGAGTTTGTATGGGGACTCTCACCGAGACATAGGTTCGAATCCTAGTTAGGCCATGGATGTTTGTGTTTGTATGATTACCTAACCCCGCACAAGTTTCGACTTATGGGGCGTTTGGTCCCAGTGCTGGAACCAACGAGGTAATGGCAAAAAAAAAAAAAAAAAAAAAAAAAAAAATAAAATAAAAATAAAAAAAAAATAAACCAAGAGAAAACATATTAGTCACCTGATGCTTTCTAGTTCGGCCTTGTGTTCGCGCGTCAATCGGTCGCTCGCTTCCTTCACCGCCTTCTCGCGCTCGCCATCTTTTTCCTGCAGCTGCCGCCGCAACTCCTCCACAGCTCTGGAGGCCTGCTCGCCGGCCTCCTTCAGCTCGTTCAGCCCCTGACAGGAGCGCAGGATCTCCCCCTCCAGCAGGCTCTTCTCGCTTAGTAGCAGCTCGATCTGTCTGTTCTTCTCCTCTCGCTCCCTCTTCAGCTCTTCCACTGCTACTTCGTGGCTCCTCATCAACACCTCCAAGGCTTCTTTTTCTTTGTGGTCCCTTGATAATATTAGTAAAAATGTTTCAATTATTTTACGACCTTTTAAATGATGAATGTCGTGTTGTTTTAGGGATTTAGGACTTAGATTAAAGAAAACTATATTTCTTGAAAGCCAATGTTTTCTCAATTTATTATAGCACCTTCAGGGCATGGTGAGGTAAAAGGGTTGTTACAATTTATAAATAGAAATATACATAAATATAAATAACTACTTCTTCTCTATCACTTTTTTCCGAAACAACTACTAACATGGTTGAGGTTATTCATATTGTGATCTTGTTTGATATTGTATTCAAAACCTTTACATATCAGTAACATTTCTGTGTCCGTAAAATCTGTATCTGATAAATTTACAAATCTATCAAAAAATTGATGACCAGTAAATTATTTGATAGATTTGTAAAATTATCAGATACAGATTCCACGGACACAGAAAAGTCACTGATAAGTAAACGTTTCAAATACAATATCAAACAAGATAATATGAATAATTTCGAACTTCTTGGCATCAAAACAGAAATAGCTTTGAAATGGTTGAGGTGACTAACACTGTATTGGGTTACATGGAAAGAAAAATGGAAAGTCGATGTTTAGGATAGTGTGTATTAATCGATCTGGTTTCATATCTGGTGTTAAAATCTTTGTTCATTCCACATTAGCCCTTGTTTCTTTGTAAAAATATCAACTATTCGGATCATATAGGGTGGTTCAGAATTAGGATCTTTGACCACCTTGTATCTATTTCAATTAAATATCAATTGATATTACATGAAAAGTTAAGATAGGGACATGAAAACACGTTCGACCAATTATGAATAGTTTCGACACAAAAAATTCTCAAAGTTGAAAAATCTAGATATTTCACACCCTATATCTTTGTTATCATTCCCGCTAGACCCCAAGTGTGATAGATCGATGAAATTAACGTTGTGTTTTCCAGAAACGTCTAATGTGCCATCCACCGTGAATCACCCTGTATATGAAAATCAACATTTCAAGTAACATTAAATGTCCAACCGATCTTCACTAAATGATTAAGTATGAGAAATACTGTTCTTTCAGGTTATTCTATTTTTTGTTATAGGCTATTTATGCCCAGTAGAATGTGATATTTTATCCGAAAAAACCTTTCCAATTATCGATTTGGCAACTATGTAGATAGTTGAGAGCCAGGTAGCCTTGCGGACAGAGTGTCAATATTCTAATCCGTATTCGCTTGCCGGTCGTGGGTTCGATTCCCATCGACTGCAGACATTTTTCTGATACCCTAAGAAAGTGTTCGGGATCACACGTTAAAAGGTTAGGTTAGAACAATTTTAGATTTTTTTTTTTAGTTACTCTGCGATTGAAACCACTCACCTTTCCACTATCACGTTCTCCCAGGAGCTGCCCAAGCTCTCGCACTGCTGGCCGAGCAGGCTGCGGTTCGAAAGGACCTGCCTTCTGAGGTCGGTGAGTTCTGAGCGCAGCTGGACGGTAGCTTCCTTGGCCAGCTGGTGCAGCTTCGTCAGCAGGGTTTTCAGGCGGTCGTGTTCCGATTTAGAGATTTGAAGGTTGTCCTGGAAAAGGCGACGATGTTTTCGTGGTTCAGGAAAAGTGATGTGGAAAGGGGTGTTTGTGTGTGTGTGTGTGTGTTTTTTTTTTGTTCTGGTTCCCACGAAAAGGGATATCCTGTAATGTTCAGAGAACATCGTGAGAACCAAGGGAAATAAGGAAGGAACTGGTGTTCTTCTCAAATTTATGGAGGTTATATGCCTCGGGGAACACTTGGCACTGTGTTCCAGAGCCTCGCTGTTCGTTGGATGAACGAGTCTTTGGAAAGAGATGTTCTGCAGGTCTCCAAAGTGACCACGAAGGGATGCGAAGCCTCAACTCGACGGTTAATCTCGCGGGGACTGCCAAGACAGGAACAATTGTTGATATTTCAAAAGGGCATCATCCATGGAAATATCTATAAAATGGAGCCAGATCGCCAACTTTTCTACGGCGTTCCAGAGAAGTGAGCGAGTTTGTGAGCGAGGCATTACCCACAAGACGATTTGCCCTTTTTTGGACAGAATCCAACAGTTTCAGGGTATGTTTGGGTGCTGCACTCCAAATATGGGAACAGTATTCCAGGACAGGTCGGATCTGTGCCTTATGGATCATAAGCAGCTGACTGGAAGTGAAATAGCTCCTGGCCCGAAACAGAAAACCAAGTTTTTGGGATGCACTTTTAGCAATTGATCTCACGTGATTTTCCCAAGAAAGGTTATTGCTGATAGTAATACCAAGCATCGAAATGGAAGTCTTCAAAGGTATTGTTACTCCTGCCAAGCTTATGTTGGGCACAGTGAGATCGGCTTTTCTAGAGAAAAGGCATGCTTGCGTTTTGTTTGCAACCAAGTTATTGGATCCCCATTCGAGAATTGTTGCCAAGTCCATATTTATGTAGTCAACATTTCTCCCTCGTTCGTTTCTGATTTGCCTGGCTGGTATTGATGGAGCCCTGGAAGAGAAGGCGGTATGGAGGGTACTATCATCCGCGAATCTGTACTGGACATGTGTGTTGTGTTATCATGTGTTTTGCTAAAAGAGAGGTTAGTAGGATCGATTTTGGGCCACCAGCTGTTCTGAATGCAATTATCCACTACAAAAACAACAACGAAAAAACCGGGAAATAAAATACATAAAGGTTTTTTTTTGTGTTTTGTCTGCAGCTTATTGACCAATACCAAATCTACCGAAAACAATTTGATGCACAATGATACAGTGTAGAGATGTGCGGCAAAAAAAACTGAAAAGAAGAAGATGCAGAATAAATCGGAAGGAACCAAAACCTGAAGAAAATCAAGAGTGCTGAGGGAAGGATACTACCATTTCTTGTGTTGACTTACTGGTGATTCTACTAAAAACCCACTCAGATAATTCCCTTATACAATCGTACAAATTAAGACAATGCTGACAATTTAATTAAATTATTGATGAAAAAAGTTTTCAATAATTAAATATCTAGAATTTATTGCATTCCATTTCATTTGTAGTCATGAATGAACCCGATTTTCACTATAAATTGCCAGTATTGATTAATAATCATTGGCAATTCTGTTAATTTGACTTAGTTTCATGCCAAGAAAATCTGAAATTCTATGAGTTGAATTGCCACACTGACAGAGATTTCAATCAAATTTATCATGCATCGCCGGAAATTAGCAAAAGTCTATTTAGCAATTCACTTTGGAATTCACCAATAACTAAAGTATCATAACAATTGAAAAAAGGAAAATTTCGGGCGGAATGACTGGTAAATGCTATAAATATGATCTTAGTTAAATTATTAAAAGCCAACTGCGGCAATTTCCAATACTATAAACGTCGATTTTGTTATAGCTTTGGAAAACCATAATTTGAAATGAATTGCCCGTGTTGGTAAACACGCAATATGAGTAAATTTGTTGAATTGCCTCTAAATTGATAATGAAAGGTCAATTTTCTTCAGCAACATCAGCAAGTTAGTTGAATTGCCTCCAGAAAGTCATAATTTTAATTGAATTGCCGGTGTTGGTAAAATTGCGTCGTTAGTTGAACTGTCTCATTTTGATCAAGAAGCTTGAGGAATATAATTATTATAAAAATTGCCCCAAGATTGGTTATAATGACAATTTTATTTGGCAACCTTAGCTAATTTATTGAATTGACTCCAGATTGATAAGCAAACGTCAATCTTTATTCAAGAGGCTTGGAATATTAGAATTTCTTCCAGCGATGTTGGCAAAGCAGTGTGTTAACACAACATCGGCAAGTTTGGAATAATTCTGAAACGCCTATTTCTTTCAAGAGGCTTGCAAATATTATATTCGCAGTATCTTGTTGAATTGCCCCGATTCTAAAACAGAAACGAAATGAAATCACCCTCTCAGCTCAAAGACAAAAATAAACCAAATAATACAAAAAAAAAGGGGGAAAAGTACCAAAAAAAAAAGGAAAAGAACCAAAACAAAACTGCGAATGTCTCACAAATACCTGCAACAGAGCGACGACCGTATTGGCAGTATCCAACTGCTTAGAGAACTCCCTCTGATTATGTCCTCCTCCTCCTCCTCCTCCCGCTTCAATACTCAAACTCGAAGGCATGCTCTCGTCGATGAAAAACTCCTCGCTAGAGAAATCCCCAGCGTGCTGTAGCTGCTGCTGCTGCTGTTGGTGGCCCAAAAACGAAGGGGAACAAGGACAATGAGGGGGGCCCAAGGGGGGACTCTGCGGGGAAACGCTCTTCGACAGGCACCGATGGTGGTGCGAGTCGAACACCGACCCTTCGTCGATGGATTCCAGCGAGGCGTTTTTGAGGTTAGTGAAGCTTTCGGTGTTGCTGCTGACGCTCATAGTGCGACAGTGGTCGTCACAGGAAGTAGGCGGTGGTTGGGCATTTGGGGGTTTTTGGAAGGTGCGGGGAGGTTTTTTGGGGGGCGCAGAAGGTTTCTCACCCACCTCGGTTGACGTGGAGGCGTCCTGCGTCGGTCGAGAGCGCGGCGACTGCGGCATGTTCTTGTTGTCGAAGTGGAGTTCTAGAGGGCTCTGGCCGACCTTCTCGAATTCCTCGGTGTCTGTTTCGGATTCGCAGCCCCTACCGAATACAAGAAGAAGCCGTTTTGCTTGGGTGATTTTGCCATTGCAAGCACTAATGCAGCCTGGACTTTGCAATTTGAGCACTAGTGCTCAAAACACGCAATAATATCATACTAGTTGATTGTTCCGCCTGTCCAAAGTAATTTGCTGGGATGATTTCGCCTTTCCAGGTTTCAGGCACTAATGCTTGCCAATCTGAGCACTAGATCTTGAAACACAAAATCAGATAATTTTTCAACTCCATTGTTACATATTGGATTCGCAACCAGCACCGAGAACACGGAGAAGTCGTTTTGCTTGGGTGATATTGCCATTGCAGGCACTAATGCAGCCTGAACTGGCAAGAACTTTGCAATTTGAGCACTAGTGCTTAAAACACGCAATGAAATTATACTAGTTGATTGTTCCGCCTGTCTAAACTATTTTGCTAGGATGATTTCGCCTTTCCAGGGTTCAGGCACTAATGCTTGAACTGGCAAAATATTTGTCAATCTGAGCACTAGATCTTGAAACACAAAATAAAATCATTTTTGAACTCCATTGTTACATATTTGATACGCAACCACCGCCAAGAGCAAGGAGAAGCTCTTTTTCTTGGGTGATTTTGCCATTGCAGGCACTAAGGCAGCCTAAACTCGCAAACAATTTGCAATTTGAGCACTAGTGCTCAAAACACGCAATGAAATTATACTAGTTGATTGTTCCGCCTGTCTAAACTATTTTGCTAGGATGATTTCGCCTTTCCAGGTTTCAGGCACTAATGCTTGAACTGGCAAAATATTTGTCAATCTGAGCACTAGATCTTGAAAGACAAAATCAAATAATTTTTCAACTCCATTATTACATATTGGATTCGCAACCACCACCGGGAACACGGAGAAGCCGTTATGCTTGGGTGATTTTGCCATTGCAGGCACTAATGTCTGAACTGGCAAACATTTTGCAATTTAAGCACTAGTGCTTGAAACACAAAATCAAATTGTATCGCAATCATTACTGAAAACAAGGAGAACAAAGGAATGTTCCGCCCATCTTATTTGTTTTGCTAGGATGATTTTGCCTTTTCGGTTTTCAGGCACTAATGCTTGAACTGGCAAAACATTAGTCAATCTAGGCACAAAGTCTTGAAACACGAAATCAAATCATTTTTCAACTCTATTGTTACGTTTTGGATTTGCAACCACTGATGAAATCAAGCAGAGTTGAGTGTTTCGCCCCTTTGAGATGTTTTGCTATGACAATTTCCAAGGACTCATGCTTGAATTGGCAAACATTTTGCAATCTGAGCACTAGTGCACAAAACAAAATATCAATTTGTTTTTCAATTGTATTGTTACATTTCGGATTCGCAACCGCTACCGAAATCAAGGAGAGTTGAGTGTCTCGTCTGTCAAAGCTGTTTTGCTAGGATGACAAACATTTTGAAATTTGAGCACTAGTGCTTGAAACACAAATTCGAATAACTTTTCCACCCAATTGTTCCATTTTGGATTGGCAATCCTTATCAAAATTAATGAGCTCTATGCTGGATGATTTTGCCATTGCAGAAACTAATGCTTGAACTGGCAAACGTTTTGCAATTTGAGCACTGGTGCTCAAAACACAAAGTTGAATTGTTTTTCAATTGAATTGTTCCATTTTGGATTCACAACAACTACCGAAAACAAGGACAGTTGGGTGTTTCGCCTCTCTAAGTTGTTTTGCCAAGATTATTTTGCCATTTTAAGCATCAATGCTTGAACTGGCAAAATTTTGCAATATGAGCACTAGTGCTCAGAACACAAAATTCATTTGTGCTGACTAACGAAATTGAATTTTCAACTGGTTGATGTAAGTTTACGTCAATCCTATGCACTAATGATTGTGATGGCATAACTTCAAATGATTTCTCATAATAAGCACTAATGCTGGAAATGAAAATTTAATATTTTTCTCAAATTCCAAGTTGACAATTTCGCATCTCTAATGATTTTGCCATTCTACGCACTTATATTTGCAGTAGAGCTTTCCCACCAACTAACCTGTCCAAATCCTTGAGATGCGGCAACCCGTGCGCCGTAACGGGAAACACCACCTCCCCACCCCCCACCACGGCATCCTTCGACCTATCGCTATCGCCGGCCACTCCCTTTTCCCCGCCCTCCTCAACCACTGGCCCCTCCTCCTCCTCCTCCTCTTTCCTTACCATCGACTTGATGAGGAAAAAATTCTCGATGGCCGACGAATCCGGCACGTTCAGATTGTCGGCCAAATCGGGCAGTTCGTGTTTGAGTCGCTCGACGTCCGCTTCGGCGATTCTGGGCAGGGCGGAGTCGAAAGTGGGCGGGGCCTGGGTGGCGAAAGAGGGCGGCAGATCGTCCATGCCGGGAAAGAGGGAGGTGAGGAAGTGGCCGTCGAACTGCGATTGGAACTGCCTGCGTCTGGCCACTTCGTCGTTGTGGATGGTGAGCAGGTGGCACGCCAGTTCGGAGGCCCACTATGGCGAAAGAGGAAATGATCAATAAATTTGGATAGGAAATCGAAAGAGGTTTCCAACGAGGGGTCGCATGACCTATCTGTGATTCCATGAATTTTCCAGTTTATTATATCTATTGAATGATACTATCACTTTTTCCGGTAATTCCTTCCTCTATAAAAATGATGAAGGCTACTTTCGAAGTTATATGATCATGAAAGGGTTCGGGCATATGTTGTGCCATATCAACTCGGGAATTAGCCAATGACAGATGGGTCATGTGACCCCTCGTTCGATAGCTCTCTCAATTGTATACTCAAAAGTGTGATTCATTTGAATATTCAAAGAGTTCGTATTAAAAAAAATTGAAATTCGTTATTGGTTGACGGATTTAGATATAAAATCGAAAGAGCTTTATAACGAGGGGTCACATGACCTGTCTGTGATTTCGAGAAATTTCGAGTTGTTGGAATAATTATATGATTCTCTGTCGCTATAAAGATGACAGTAATCGCTTTGATGATTGCTTGAAAAGCGTTTGGGAATATGTTGTCATTTGACCCTTCATTTGATAGCTCTTTCAATGATCTAACCTAATCAGTACTGTGATAGTTTGAAAATTCGAATAATTCGTACTTGAAAGATATTCAGATTTGATATTGGAGGGTAAATTCTGCTAGAAAATCGAAAGAGCTTCCCAACGAGGGGTCACATGACCTATCTCTGATTCCAAAATTTGCGAGTTGATTATCTCTATTGCATGATTTCATGGCCATTTGGAGTATTCCATTACTCTATATTAATAACAGTGGTCACTTTCGCGGTAAAATGATTTCGAAAGCAATATGATGTCTTATCAATTCAAAGATTTACAAATAGCAGATGGGACATGTGACCCCTCGTTTGAAAGCTCTTCCAATTGTCTATGCATCCATTGTTGCGATAATTGGACAACTTTTAGGATTCATATTTGAGAAATTCATCATCATTGAGAACCCAAGAAATTCTTGAGGTTTACTGTGGCAAATAGAGAAAACAAATAGCTTGCGAATGAGGGACTACATGAACCTATTCACCAGCAAATTCAAAATTTATGATAAATAAGTATGACTCCCAAGAATTGCTTCCTGGCTTCTTTTCAAATAAAGCTTTGTTTTCTCTTTCTGTTAACAGTAGTTTTCCATACATCAATGTTGTTATGGTGCATGGGAACTAATTGTAGCTTATCAACTCAAAAAATTATAAACTGAAAATAGGTCATGTGACCCCTCGTTTTGAAGCTCATTCAATTATCTATCCAATGGTATAAAAATTCAGATGAATTTTCAAAGTTTATCCGGGATATCAAGATAATTTCGAGTTTCTATATCACAATAGTTCTTCTTTTTCCTCACCAATAAAAATGTCTGTGAAAACGCCCTTCTCCTCACAACTTCGGCAACAGCGCAAAGGTAAGTGGCCGGTGCCAAATGTATTTGTTGCAACACCTCCAAGTGCCTTCTCAGCCGCTTCAAGTTTTCATGGTAAATCACGAGTTTTTGGTCAATTTCCAGTATGTGGTCTTCAATATACATCACCCACCTGAATGAAAACCATACAAACAGTGACATTAAGTCACCCCAGCTTCAAACCGTAGCCTAGTTTCACTATCGGTATGTTTTCTGTATTACCGATACTGGGTGCGGAACTAGGCTACGTGGTTCGAAACCGGGATGCTAATCGACCGTTTACCTTAATCTATGGTACAAATTCACGCTCAGTTCTTCTTTCGCTTTGGTGCATCGCCTTTTAATATCACAGAGTTGCTGATGGTTGTTCGCCATCATTTGAAGTTGCTTCTTGTGCGTAGCGCACAGGTCCGGAAGCACGGAAGAGTCTTTAGTGTTGCTGGCCCGACTTTGATGCTAGAGAAAAAAAGCCATTGTATGTCGATCGAACCAAGTGAACTGTCTGTTGGTTAATCGAGAAGGTGCAATCTAAAGGACCCCGCACCATTTACATTGAAATCTTGTCTACGTTGAAATTTACCATAAACACAGGATGTGCTGTTCTGGTAGAAGTTATCTCGTTTGGCTTCAAAAGCATATAACTTCTTTTAACGGGCATAACGGACCTTGGACCAAAGGACATTTCTTGTTCAGCATGATTTGATCTATCTAATCCTAGATTTTCAAAAAATTTCACCGTAGACAAGATTTCAATGTAAATGGTGCGGGGTCCTTTGTAATGTAAAATGTAATGAAAGGATCGACAATACTTCACTAAAACGTCAGGACAACGTTATGCATGCATCTAAACTTCGAGAAGCCTAGAGAATTGTCACAAAAACATCACAAATGCATCTAAACCTCAAGTAAACGTAACTAAAACGTCATACATGCGTATAAACTTCGGGACACGTGGAAAAAACGTAACCAAAACGTAACGAAAGCTTCTAAACGTTAAAAACACGTTGAAAAATCGTCACGCATGCAACTAAGCTTCAAAAAGTATAAAAAAAACGTTGTGAAAACGTCACGAAAGCGTGTATTCGCTCACCTTCGCGAAAGACTGCGCCAACTCGGCCTGCTGCTGCACGAACCGCTTCGCCTCCCGCATCAGCGTCTCCAGCCCGGACAGCCGCTCCCCCAAGCCCTTCACCTCCTTCATCTGGGGGTTGTCCGCCCCCCTCAACATCTCGCCGATATCCTCCGTTAAGGATTCGAACGCGCGTGCGTCGAATTGCTCGAGACCACGCGCGCAGTGCTCGTACAGCTGGTCCATGGTGCTCTTGTTATCAGCCGCCGATATCCACTCGTACAGGGTGATGTCTTTGGCTCGGGAGGCGGTCGACTCCTGTTCCTCCTCCTCCTCCTCCTTTTTCTGCTGGTGATCCTCTGACGTTTTGGAGGTGTTGATTTCGGTGTCGAGCAAGGCGGAGAGGACGGGGATTCTTTGCAGGATTTCCAGATCGTTGTTGAAGCTTGAAGAGAACAATGAATGGTGTGGTAGTTTTGCACTTATCATGCGATGGTTTTTTTTTCCAAATTTTGATTTGGTACTTAGGTATTTTTGTCTGAGAAACACGAATTTGAATAGCGAGAAACTGCGAGGGATTGAATAGAATTGTGAAGAGCTGGTAGGAACTTAAGAAATTACGAGAAATTTCAAGTATTTGCTGGGCAATACTGAAGAATTATTGTGAAGCAACATTATCACATTGAATTTCATAAAAAAAAGGAAACTACAAGCAATGACAAGGAAATGAGAGCTAGTGAAATGTATTTGATGGTATCAGAATGGCAACATCGGATATTACTTGGCAAAATAACTGAAGACTGAAGGGTAGAACAAACAAAAAAACAACAAATCATTATTCAACTCTAATTCCTAATTAGAATCAGAGTCATGGCTGAATATATGGCCCAGTGACCTATCAAATGTCAATAGAATAAAACAAGCAGACTGACATTCAGACAATCAACCCATTAGTCATTCAAGTGAAATTAATTGAAATGAAAGAACACCAGTTGTGTGAAAAAATATGCGAATGTATTCAAAATTATTCAAGTTAACCGATGAATAAAAATGATTCCAAATTCATTGTAACAAATTCATTTTGACAATCGCCGACCTATATAGTTTTGGTAGGAAATTCAATTATCATGCACTAATTACTTTTATCAGGGGAAGACGATTTGCCATGATTCAACCCACTGAGTATGATTTTACCAGACTGAGCATCAATGAATATTCTGGTTCTGAAACTAATTGGAATGTTATATCTCTAAATTCTAGTGGTGTCATAAGAATGTGTTATTTTTTTATTTACAATGAAATTGTAATTAAATGATTTGGAAGCTAATTTTACCATACTAAGCATGAATGCTCCGTCTGGTAAAATAACACAAGAAAAAAAAGGAAAAGTGTACTGTTTCAGGAAGACGAGGTACGGCTCTCTCTAAATTCCTGAGTATGCTTGCTGCTTCGGGTAAAAAGAGCAAGAAAATTGAAAAAATTCATGGAAAGTGTTTCGAATCACAATTTTACCACACCAAGCACGAATGCTCCACCTGGTAAAATAACACAAAAACCAATAAAAAAGTTTACTAACTGTTTCAGGAAGACGAGGTACGACCCTCTCTCTTCCATGTACTCGTTGAAACTCCTCTCGAAGATCTCCGACCGCTTCCGGAACTCGACGGTGATGTCCTCCAAATTGGCGACTACCGCCGACCAGCCCTGCTGCTGCAGATGCTGATCGTGCACGAGGCCCTCGCACGACGACAGCTGCTTCCTGGCCAGCTCGTGCAGCTGCTGAGCAAGTTGAGCGCGCTTGCTCACCGTGGTGAACGTCACGGGCATATCACAGTGTTCTTTGACTCGAAGATCTATATCTGAAAGGAACGTCGCACAGACTTACCACCCGAAGCACGGATGCTTTGAAAAGTACAGATGAAATTGAGGAATTTAGTAACTGAGCACGATTGTTCGTTTCCCCATTAATAAGTATTGATCTGCTTCAATAATGATCATGAACCACAAAAATAAGTAGAAATCAGAACATTTACCAATTGAGCACGAATGCTTGTTTGGTCAGAAAAATGTTGATTCTTTAGGATATCGATCATACGTGAAGCTGTGACGTTCTGTTCCACTTAAAGATAGATATCTGAACGCAACGTCGCACGGGCTTACCACTCGAAGCACGGATGCTTCGAAAAGTACATATAAAATAAGTAAATTTGCCAACTGAGCACGAATGCTCGTTTTCTCATTAATTAGCGCTGATCTGCTTTGATGATCATGCATAAATCGAAATCATAAAAGTTATATTCATAAAAACATCAAGTACAGTTGGAATTGAGAATTTTACCGAGCTTATTTCATTAGAGAAGAGTACTGATTTCATTGTTGACATTCGTTAAGAGACAAAATTACATTTGAAATTGAAAAAATCACCAACTGAGCACGAATGCTTGTTTAGTCAGAAGAATGATGATTCATTAGGATAACGATCATACACGAGGCTGTGCGGTTCTCTTCAATTCAAGAAGACTGTCTCGATGTTTTTCGTTAGATTCTTTTGCAGAACATAGATTAAAACGAGTTATTAATAATGCAACTGATCCAGCTCACCGTTATGAGCTTCACCGACATATATATCGGTGTTCTTCAACTCTGATATAGATGTCTAGAAGGAACCTCGGACTACTTACCATCCGAAGCACGAATGCTTCGCGTAATACATAAAATGCTATTCAGAATTTGCTATAACAGCCATTATTATTAAAGAAGTGTGCGTGTACTTGAGTGTCAAATTTTGATAAATTACCATACTCAGCATGAGTGCTTTGATGAGTAAAACAAACAGTACCTGTATTCGTTGAAATGCTTTTTTTGGGAAAAAGGAAGGCTGTGGAAAAACATAATTTGATAAGTTTTGATAGTTCTCAGAAAAAAACTCACCACTATCTGAACCGTGTTCTGCTCCAGGCAGAGGCGGTGTGGGAGATTCAATAATGGACTTGCTGAAGAGAAAAATGGGATTGGTATCTGTGCCGGCAGAGTATGAACATACCCTCTTGTTGGGGTCCAAACATTCGCCCCCGCTTATGAGCAATACCTGCTTCTCGGCTGCTATCTTGAATTCCTCTTGCACAAAGTGTTTGAGATTGTCCACACTGACATGGAAAATAAGGGAAAATATTCAGGGTCTAAATGGCATAGTTTCCTTTCAAAGACTTTTGCACTGATATGTATTTTTGCAATGCAGAATGTCCATTGCATTGTCTGCTAAATATGAGGAAAAAATCTAGTGAGCTGGAGTATCAGCTCACTAGATTTTTTCTCCATGTTTCTTGAAATCTGACACATCGCATGAATTTGTTTTTATATCTGACTCTCATAGAGGGCGCTAGTTACACGGTTCGTACCGAGTAGTTATGAACATAACTTTTTTGAGGTTAGATTTTTCAATCCAAATATGATATGAACTTGAACATCATTCAATTTCACACCAAAAAGGTACTCCTGGTGAAACTCGATACTATGTTCCGTTTTCGGAATATTTCGATTTGAAAATAATGGAACAGTAATGATGCTAAATACTGTCTGTAGGTAAATCGAGGAGGTGGTACATTCATTATTTTAAATTTTTTGGGATTTTCTCTCCTCGTTTCGAATTTTCTTTTTTTAAAATGTATTATTCTTCTGAACTGTTGGGGATCAGCTGTTAGGTCATTTAAAGTGATGTTCAATTATGTCTCACAACTCTTGACTTGAATTTACCTATGTAGCATAGACTTTCTGCTCAAGATACAACAAAACTGTGTAATCCATGTTCTTAGTCAAATCTGTTTTGATATTATTCTTGTGATTTATTGTTAAATCAATGAGTTTTGCATCAGAAATGTATTGTTGTTTTCGGTTTTCAATAAATAGGTGATAATTTTTCATAACACACAATCTAATACATAGCTTTATACCAGCAACAGTTACCACTTCATCATTTTCAAATCGAAATATTCCGAAAACGGAACACAGTATCGAGTTTCACCAAGAGTACCTTTTTGGTGTGAAATTGAATGATGTTCAAGTTCACATCAAATTTGGAAGTTATGTTCAAAACAACTCGGTACAAACCATGTAACTAGCGCCCTCTATGAGAGTCAGATATAAAAACAAATGCATGAGATGTGTCAGATTCCAAGAAACATCCATACAAAATTTCATCACAATGTTGCCAGTAGTTTCAATATAATCGTAAAAAATGTGTAAAAAAAATATTGTTTCAACACCTTGTATCTTGAAAACGGATGGCGTTACGACATTTTTTTACTGAGCAAACCCAACTTATTTTGCAATGTTCTACCTACCCTAGCAAGGGGGTTAGGTTTTTTTGGAACACCCTGTATTTCGAGATAAATTTGCACATAACATTTTTACGGAAGTATGATCAGAGAAAAATTGCTAATCCCGGCTAATCTTAGCAATGATAGGAATATTGTGTGAATGCTTTATCAACATTGATAACAAATTGAATAAAAGTGAAATACCTGAATCATTATCTTTCCTCCTTTATCAGTCATGAATATTTGATTCACAACAAATACATTCAAACTATTTTTGTATATGTGTTTCATTCAATCTGCTTGTCATAATTATTCTAATATCAAGTCCAAGAAAATATTATTCACTATAATATGTATATACAGTTCATAGAGATCATATATCAGGAAAGAGTAATGAAATATAAATACTTTTCACTGATAATACCACATGAATATCAAGAATAAATTAGTTTTCTTCACAACAGAGATAGTCATGAGAAAATGTATCATCATTGTAGCAATGTCCTTTGTGAAAGTTCAGCTCAGAGGTGTACAAACTTGGGGTTGTTGTACCTTTGCATATTATTCGTAAATAATGAATTATTGATTATTGAACAAAATCTCCGTGATTCAATAACTGCAAAAACAGGAAATATAAATAATTAGTGACTGTTTTGATAGAGGTATAGGTACGAAGTTTTCAAAAACTTTCATCAGGATTCAACTCAAGAAAATAAATGTAATTTAATGATGTTATTTTCATAATCATTAGCCTATATCATGATAGATAAAGATTATAAAAATCTTCATTGATTAAGTTCATCATTTTCGTTACAAGGTTCTCAAAACTGCTAACTTTCCCTAATGATTTGAATAAGTATTATTGTGAAAACACTTGACAAGGTTTAGACACAATATCAACTAAACATGTTAAAATGTTACCCAGGTCAAAGATAACAAATGACATATCAGATTGTTCAAATAAAAAACAAAACTATGAGCATGACATTAGATTTTTTAAATATAATAGGCACTGGCAAGAAATGTTGATTAGCTGATAGTGATAATCGGCGAATTATATTTTCAGATAATCCTGGTATTTGATCAGATCAACAATAGGTACTTATTATATTTTCATAAATTCCAAGTCCCAAAATCGCCCCAAATAGTATCTTGTTTGATTCCATATGATATGATAAAATTATGAATGGAATGGGAAACACCGGGAAACACTGTCTTTTGTGCTCAACTTTCTAATCTCAATATATGCAAAAAAGAAGCTCATTAATTATGGCCCAATATATTTACTGGTTGTCTTTATTTGCATCCACTATTTAAAAACAGGCTGATAATAGCTGATAAGTGATAAATATATACCATTGCAAAAGGGTCCCAGAAACCTGAACCATTGTTGGTTGTTTACCCATGTGTTAATATTATGTTTTGTTTTGAAAGTGTTATGAATAGTAATAATAATAATTGATATAGCTGGTAAAATTTGAAATTCTCAAGAGCCTAGTTTTGATGATTTCTGTTATTAGCTAAGAAGAGAATCAGATAAACTGTTACCTTGACTTACAAAAATTTCGGCACGTGGATTTCATTATAAAAACCTTGGCGGGACCTTGACAATATACAAATGTAATTAAACTGGTTACACTCCAGCACAGTTTCAAATCAAAACATTGTTCAGAATTCAAAACAAACAATATTTAATATTATATTATTCACTCTACTATGGACCATGGTGAATTGATGAAAGCATAGATGAAATATGAATGATAACTGGAAAGATAATTAGGTTTACTAACCTTTCTAGTGCAAGACTCATATCAAAAGTCATCATTCTCCCAGAATCCACATGGAAAACGTGCAACATATTTCTGCCAATTTATTTTCGATTTTTCAATGAATTCATAAGGGTGAAGTAACCCTAGACATACCTGAAATGAATTCAATCTTATCACAACACAAAAATGGCAATGATTTGACTACCTATATGAGATGATTAACAACAGAGTAATATCAATTAGAACTGAACTACTTATCAATGTTGATTACTTTTAATAAGGACTAAAATTATGCACAAAATGACGAGTTTAGACTTGAACGACCGTGTTTACCTCTTGGTTTACCTCATTCCAGGTAAACAAAGAAAACTCTTTCTAGCAAAAGGCAATTACGTTAAGCAGTAGATGATGGTGAATGTTATAAAAAAAAAGTTGAAACAAAACAAAATTGAACCTAAATAGTGTGGGCTGTGCTGTTCGCAGAGAATTTCCAGCTTTTATCACTCCGAATTTTCGACCATTGTTATGACATTTCACTGGCATTTTCACAGCTGATATTGACAAACTCGATAATCACTTTCATTTCCATCACTTCAGTTTCGTTTCACTGAGTCACTTTCGAGCATTTTCTTCATAAAACTACGATATATTTAGAATTGTACAACATTCTTTAAAACGCAAATCGTCCATCAGCTGACTAGCAGGAAGTGTTTTGCAAAACTTGATGTCTAGGAGGACTGAGGAGTAGGAGGAGACATGCGATTCATCAAAATTCAAGGACTCTATTTTTGGATTTGACATTTAGCATTAAGCGCACTCACCCACAAAAAATAACCAAAGTCACTGTCCGCCAATGGCCCGTCGAAGCTGTGTCTTCGAAAAATAGAATAAGATATTCAACAGCGTTGCCAAGACTATTTTGCGCTGTTGTGACATCAAAAATAAAACTTGAGATATTCTGCTTAATGTAGAGTATAAAAGCTCAATCTATAATATTGAAAATCAAAATTTTATTTCAGTAATCACATAATGTTAGGTGACGTTTTTAGGTTTCAGGCCTTGAATGTAAATCTAATCCAATAGTATTAATTCTTGGTAGATTTCTGAATAAAATGCCGTTATTTCTAAATAAATATATTCATCATATTGCAGATCTTGAAACATGAATTGGATGAAAGATAACATATCATTATAACACCTTAACATTAATCACAACACATTTATAGAATTTTCGAGAATTATACAACATTTTTCCATTTCACTTTCCATATATAAATAATGTATGATCAACATTAATTATGATATGTTGAAAAATATCACTATGCAATAAACATATTAAAAAAAATAATGAAGCACACAGCATAAATCACAGAAAATATAGGTTCAATCAGTCACAAACCCTAAAAAATATAATAGTGATAAATATAATAACTGAAACCTAACCAATAGGTAACTTCATCTGTATAATAAATCGATTAAATCCAAACAATCACAAAAATAACAAAATTCATATTCGAATTAAAATAAGTAGGTTAGGTACCTAAGCTCCTGATGGTGAATAGGTACATAATACAGTGCATAGTGTAACAAATAATATAGGAAGTACTTTGCCATATAAATGACTAGGTGAGGTAAAGGAACTTCAAATGGAAGACGGGGATTCCATTTCCGAATCTCCCTTTGGATGAACCAACAAATCGAATTCGCTAGCCGACATAGACTTACTCAGTATCCTATCCCACTGTTCTGGAGTAGAAGGCACTTCTTGGATGTTTCTCAGTTTTTCCATTTTCATTCGAGAAGAACCTAAAAATAATTGAAAACTCCAGCATCACCGTACAGAGCATTCAATTACCTTTCAAATGAGGTATCACACGACCCTATTCGCATAAAAAATGACAAAGTTGAAAATTCTCAACTAGAACTTTCAACATCCGAAGTAGATCGAGTAACACCTCATTTTGAAGATAATTTGATCCTCTTTCAAACCACAGTTTCCATTTCCGGAAAATCTTACTCGTTTCTCCACTGCGAGCTCTCATAGTTTCCTGCTTGATGATGATCTCATTAGTTATATACGCTTCCCTTCTGATCTGATCGCCGAGATCGCCCGGTGTATCTGGTATGCACCATTTGACAATTATCATGACTAGAAACACCACATTTTCGAATATAACAACAAAAAATAGTTTAGCAGCTAGAATATGCCAATACAAAGAGGTTCTTTGGTATTCATTGGGAGTCCCAGGCGGTTCTCTATAGTCCGGATACCTGAAAATAATAATAAACAGGTGAGTTGAAAGTAAAACAAATTGGACATATGAAAGTACCGGCATAACTTCTCAGTCTGCCAATTGTGAGGCCTAGAAGAATTCTCAAAGTTGCTGGTATTGAAATAGGACAACGATGTGTTCAAATAGTTGTCCAACGTATTATGTTGACTTAAATACACCAGCCTTGGTATGAAATCTGAGGTGAAAGCTATAATAAACCCCTGAAAAAAAAAAACATCATTTCCATGAAATTTCAACCTAGACGTTGTGTCCTTACGTTAGTCACAACAGACAACTTTCCAATTGAGTCCAATATTCGATACCAAACCCCGATATCACTGACTCTCTGAGAAATTGGCCTCCTATAGAACGTCAACAATTTTTGGGCATCTAATCTCATCTCAAGAACGTTGTTCAGCAGAGCAAAAAACGGCGCCAAAGGAAAAGCCGCCACAAAAATCGTCACGAAACCATATTGCAAAACTACAACAAAATTTGAAATCAGTTTCAATAAGTAGACAATTTTATTACCTTCAAAATGAGGTGCCACAAGACCCCTTTTGATCTTCGAAACTTCAAGTTGAGAATTATCAACTTTTGAGTGCTAGGTGCAAAAGTGGTCGTGTGATACCTCGTTCGAAAGGTGTTTCAATGCACTATAACATAGCGAGGGAATTTCACGGATTCTGCTTACCCATTTCCAAATATTCTGGAAATAAACTTCGGGGTCCCCATTCAACTAGCTTGTAATCTTTCACCCACTGGGGTTGGCAGCGTTTGCACGACAACAATTTCTCTTTGGTCAAGCCCGTTTTGACTTTGAGAGTATTTAGCCATTTGTAAAATAGTGGGAAGAGCATTTCTAAGACAGTGTTCATGGCCTGCTTTCCCACCATTATGATGCCAAGTTGAATGCACAGTTCCATTAGGCATCCTCCTGGACCACACTACAAATATGGTTGTAAATAAAAGATATTCTAAGGCTCGTTATATCTACCTCTTCTTGCCGATATCCAAATATTTTGTTGTACTCTCTAGGATATCCAACGAATCTGCCTTTGAAGAAGGCAATATAGAAAATGGAAGCGTAATAGTTCACGAATTGTAGAAGATAGATTTTCAATGTTAGGGAATCATCAAATTCAGTTTGAGTTCTCAGTAATTCGAACTCAGTTAAGTACTCAGCCACAAAGGTATAAATCTAGAAGAGAACACATTCATCAGTTCCAAGCATTGTTATGGATTCTCAAACTTACGTAATTGAAAATGACGATGAACACTAAATTTATGCATGCGGCTGTACAGGTTGTGAACAACATGGCAGAACTGTTGTCTACTAGAATAGGTGAAGTATGATCGATTGCTTTGAGACTCACTAGTACAGACATCCTGTATAGTACCACTGCTACCACTGTAGCTAAAGCCAGGGTCACCTGAATATAAAAGAAGGATGAAGAATGAATCAATTTTAGCGAGTATTGATGAAGCTAGATTTTAGATTTCAGGGTATAATCCAAAATTTTGAGTTTTGAAACTCCAAAGGTAAGCCCATTTTTTCCAAATGAAATCTATATCCAAATTTCGAAATACATTCGTCGTATCCACATAGATAAAGAATCGAAATCAAGGGTCCAGAGGCGTATCAATTCTTTTTAGCTGTTCTACAACAAAAAATGTGATTTTGAAATTTCTTGACAACAAAAATAAATGAAACTCCGAAGACTTAAACATTTTTTTTATGTCATTTTCTGTTTTTTTTTCTGAAACGGTCTGGAATTGAACTCTTTTCTACCTTGAACGGGAGAAAGGAAAGTTCTCTCCTCTTCCATCTTTCTCTTCAGTGCTACCAACGTGGCCGCATTGAAATATAGAGAGATCCGATAAATCTTTCCTTGTCTAACGTCTACTCTGCGCCACTGAACTATTTTCAATGTTATAATGATGTGACATGTCTATTTCATAAATGTCCTTGACTGATAACCTTTCGAATTCTTTAAATGACATTTCGAATTATATCATACTTATTTTGACATCATTTGTTAATATCGTTGAATTTGACTCTCTGCTGAATTCAAAAATAGTTCAGTGGCACAAACTAGATGTTAAACAAGGACAGATTTATCGGACCTCTCTACATTTCAATGCGGCTACGTTGGTATCATTGAAGAGAAAGATGGAAGAGGAGAGAACATCCATCTCTCTCTCTCGTTCAAGCTCAATTGAAAATACATAATTTTTAATTGGTTTTCGTAGAAAATTGTTTCCAGAGGTCTGAAAGCAGGAAGTCGAATTTTTGTATGTCTTCTATGTACCCTTAAGTTGATGAAGAATCGATATCAAGAGTCCAGTGGCCTACCATTTTTTTAACGGGTCAACAATAAATAAATTGATTATGAAATTTCTCAATATTCGAAATAAAAACGATGCGAATTCAACTATGTTTCAGTGTATCTTCCAGGGGCGAAATCTTCTTAGGTTTGACGTACCTACCCAATTTTTACATTGGAACAATAATAAATAATGGGTCGGGGGTCAAAATTTTTTTTATATTTCTACCAAACAAACAAATCAAAATCAGAGGTGTGAAATCAAAAAGTCGGGATTTCTGAATGTGAATGTATGTAAATCACGAGTCCAGGGACGCAGCAATTTTTTTCTGAGCGGGTCCAAAATAAAAATGGCTGATATTTCTGTGGCCATCAGGAGTGGACCCATTTTTTTTTGGACAGGTCTGGAATTTACAAATGATGAATAATATAATTCGCAACTTCAAGAGGATATGTATAGGAGTATTATTCATGAATAAATTAAGCATCGAAAAGGTAAGTAGCTTCGTCAGGATATACTGGTAATCACTTATCATGTGATGGTTCTTTTTTCGAAGTTTTTTTTTGGTACTTACGTATTTTTGTCTGAAAAACGCGAATTTGGTAATGAAAATGTGAACAAACCACTATTTATCGAGATATTTCAAGAAAAAGTTTGAAATTTCGCCTTCTTTTTCCCCTTGTGTTGGATGCATTTACAGCTACTTTTTCTTCTTATTTTGTCATTGAACACATTTTTATATCTTCTTTTCACTAAACATGGATAAATCACAAGAAAATCATATTTCTAGTTGACTAATATGTATAATTAAAAAAAAATCCTACATTGTGATATATATTAATTGTTTAATGATGGAAAAAGAAGGGCAAATTGTTCTGAATGCTATCCAGAAGACAGGCGGAAAAGAAGGTGAAATTTGTAACTTTATAGTGAAATATCTTAATAAATAATGGTTTGTTTACATTTTCATTATCAAATTCGTGTTTTTCAGAAAAAAATACGTGAGTACCAAAAAAAAAATTTCGAAAAAAAAACCATCGCATGATAAGTGCAAAATTACCATCGAAAATTTCACACCAAACATTTTCGATCAATTTAAAGCCCGTATTTCGTATCGCTACCATAGCATAGCAACTAAACAAATTTCTTGGAAATTTTTTCCTCCTCCTTGTGGGATGGAGCATGAAATTACACTGGAAATTTTTTGACGTTTATAGGTTAACTGACATTCACAATCAACTTCAGAATATTTCGAGTTCATTCTATAAGTCAATAAATAAAAATCATTTATCAACAGTTTACCATATAATATTATGTAGGTGTACTTGCAAATTCGAAATTTACAAAAACACACGTTGTTCCTATACGTTAGTTCTTACATTTCATCATAAACAACAATCAACATGTAAATTTTCTTACCGAATACCACTTTGGCTTCAATTAATATCTGAGAATTTTTTCTTGAACACGAATATTTAGAAAATTTCAAAATTTTTCGAAATATTCGTGTTCTCCGGAAATAATTGAAGCTCTGGTGATATTATAATTGAAAATTCCCTTCTTACCAATAGAAGTACGACGGAAAAACTAAAGATCGTCATAGGCACCCTCAACTTCCAAAAAGACACTTGCGGCTCCATGGTATTGGTGATCACGTTCACCTGTTTTTGCTTGATATGTGCCAATCGGGCCAAATATTGGGGCCTCGGGTGCTCCTCCTGTATATCGAAGCCCGTCAAGTCCCATCTGTGAGTGATCTCTGCGGAATATCTTTTCCACATTTCCAAAAATAGAGTTGCTGAAAACGTCGGAAAAGGCGAATTTCAATCAGCCCATGTTGATTGTAGACGATAAATGCACATAAAAATAAATTTAATGATTTTTTTTGAAATGTCAAGTACTAAGATGTCTACCTTGGGAAAAAATTTGAAATGTTTATTCCAATTTTCAGGGCATACTACGATATTTTTCTTTGTCGAAAATCGGGATTTTTTATTAGCGATTTTTTTATTAAAAAAATCACTACGCCACTGGATTCAGAGTGCCTCTAAACAGGTGTGACCAAAATTTCATGAAAAAATATACTCAGAACTTCGAAAACTCACGATAGTGTAAATTTTTTTAATGCATATTCCACTCTTGATCTCGAGAACCTATCAGAATCGACCATTTTCACGGTTTCTTCTGTATTCTAGCGATATTTTTTGTTTATTAAATTTTATCGGACTTGCTCTACCAATACAGAAGCCGAATTGACCCACACGTGACCAACAAACCTCGTTTATCAGCGATAAAATTTTGACATCGTGTCTGGTCAAGATTGCTTTGGATTCAAATCTGAGACAATAACCTATAGGTACCTACTTTATTTTATTTACTTATAATACGCGTTAGTGAGACATTTTGTTCGAAAGGCGAGACAATTTTATTCTGGCTGGACGTTTCATATGTAATTTAAAAAGTTTGCATATTTGTTGACGGTCTGACACAACAATACTAGAATTCGAATTCCTTTTTGAAGTAGTCTTCTTCAATCACTCAAGTTATTGTGACTAATATAATAACCAGCTGATGCAGCTAAACTGATAGCGTTGTGGCACGAAGAGTGACAAAGATACGAAGGTCGATGGTTCGAGCCCCTCGGCGACGATAACTTTTTTTTTTAATTATTTCATGTCACATAAATTCAATTTATTTTGTTTGAATTGGATAGCAATTGTATACACTCTTTTGAGAGCAACCATAAAAAAAATACTGTTTATCAAAATTGTACATTCCACTTTGTGAATAACTATAAGTAGGTAGTTAATTTCTAAAAAATTGAATTCTGTATTTCATTACTATCATTATGTTCTTCTTCGCAGTTTGAGTTGGAATATACTTGAATTATGATTCCTCTTTCTTATATAATATATTGTCTCATTCAATCATGAAATAGTCATAGGAATACAACTCGTGATACTATGTTTCCTGGAAATATTCGTCGATTGACATACTCCAGCTTGCTGTTCTAATTTCGCTCATGACATTGATCCAAAACTAATCGCCTACGGCTCGTAGTTTTGATAACAATGTCATTCACGAAATTACTAGGCAACAAGCTGTCGTAACATTCACCGAATATTTCCGGCAAAATATTATCACTTGTGGTATTACATATGAAAATAACGGAATTACATTCACACAATTCAACTAATAATGAAGCAAAAAATTAAAAAACTTACGCTATAATTTTTTTGTTCATCTAGTGACACTTAATTGTTGAAATCATGAAAAAAATATTCTTATGGCTATATCTGTTGATATAGGGTGTTTTTTGTGAGTTTTCGAATTTTTGAGTTGTCATAACTTTGTTATTAATGAATATTTTTTCATGAAATTTTGGTCACACCTGTTTAGGGGCACTCTGAATCCAGTGGCGTAGTGATTTTTTTGATGAAAAAATCGCTAATAAAAAATCCCGATTTTCGACTATGAAAAAATATTGTAGTATGCCCTGAAAATTGGAATAAAAATTTCAAATTCTAAGGAACGTGTGGTCCACGTTTCTTAGAATTTGCATTAAAAATACAGGATCATTCACCTAACTAATTCAATAGATGTTTATAGGGACCGAAAAAAAAACTCAATCTGAAATTTTGAGATGTTATTCTCAAAATTTCGAGATTTTTAGAAATATATATTGTTTAATGTGGCACCAATACGCCGTCGTATTGCAACAGAATGACTTTTTTCGCCTATTTGAATCCAGCTTTCTTTGAGTCAACAATGTATTGCAAACTGATATTTTTGTATAGAAAATAGGAAAAAAATACAGCTTAGAGGTTCTTTAAAAGACAGTATTTACTCACCCCATATGGACATGAATATAGCAAAGAACACAGTGGTGGCATTATCAAAGAGATAAGTTATTCTGGCATGAACACAAGATTCGTTGATGTCCCAGTAGTCACACCAAACATCACACAACGGGCACATTTTTTCGATGATTTTACCGTTACAGATGTCTTCGCTACGTGAAATAAAATACACAAATAATAATTCTCACAAAATTACGAACCTAATCTTTCGGATCGCACGAAAGGTAATCCTTATTATAAAAAACAGTAACAACGATATTTTCCTTACCTCGGGGTGTTCCGATACAAAGTTAGGCAGGAATAAATGAAACAAATTACCCCAACCAAGGCGGCAGGGACCAACATGTGAGTGTAAAACCCCAACCAGGCAAAGTACAATCCTATTTTCACTCCAAAGTACTCTTTAACATAATCCAAAGGTTGGTACCGGTACCATTTTCTAATTGCCGCCCATTCTTTGTACAGCAAATTTCTCGTAGAGCCCGGAACCCTCAGTTCACCCTGTATATAAATTAAAAGAAAAAACAATATTTGTAAAAACTTCACAAACGATAAGATTTCCACAAAATTCTCAAACAGACGACATTTTTTGCTAACACAGTAGCTTCGTCAGGTGATATACTGGTACAATGAACTAAACTAACGTTGGCTTGCTCAACTTTTATATATCTTACTTTCCCAACCTGAAGGATTAGTTACCTGTGGCCAGGTAGGATAAACCTCCATTTTCGGAAATTAGGCACAATCATTAAGTAAAATGTAAAAAATTTTGAGTTTGTTGATTTCTATAATGATTCAAAATGATTGAGTTTCAGGCCTTCATTTTCTACGTGCAGAATTTCGAAATTATCATCAAAACTATGGTTTTCTTCTAATATACTGGGTGTTTCACAGGTAAAGGGAAATATTTCAATGGTAGATGGGGGTCACTAAGGTGGTTCTGAAAATACCATATTTGATAGGTCTTAGAGTCTTCATAACGGAGATACAGGGTGATTTATCGATTTCGAATAATTATTCATTCGTCTATATGTATTGACCTACCCAGTATATTTCGCTCAAATTTGGTAAGGAGCTTATACTTGGGACGTTAAATTCATTCACCTATCAGGCGGAGTGAAAATCCAGGTTCGGCTTCAGGAAAAATGTTCATTTATTCGAAATATTAAAATAACACACTGTATTTAATAATTACCACAGTACATCAAAATAATTGTGAAGAGGAGGAAAAACTGAATTGGGTTTGATGCTTTTTGTTTTCCCGCCAGTAATTCTCATCGTAACAATCATAAACAGAAAATTGAAATTATGTCAATTTGAAGAGTATTGAACTTATGAAATCAGTGTCAATTATGATTATTCGATAAATTTAATCGCTCCAAAAAACTTACAGTCTCTATAATGGAGATACAGGGTGAATTATCGATTTTGAATAATTATTCACTCGTACTTGGGACGATGGATTCATTAACCTATCAGGCAGAATGGAAATACCAAATTTGAGAAAATATTACTGCGATGGGTAGTTTAATATACTTATGGACGAGTGAATAATTATTCGAAACCGATAATTCACCCTGTATCTCTGTTATAAAGACTACGAGACTTAGTGAGTTCTTTCAAACGATCAATTAACAAGAATATATCAAATAATAATAATTGAAAGTGGTTTCATAATTCTAATACTCTTCAAATTGACATACTTCAAGCTTCATGTTTATGCTTGTTACGATGAGAATTGGTGGCGGGAAAACAAAAAGCATCAAATTCAGTTCAGTTTTTCCTCCTCTTTACGATTCCATCGATGAACTCCGTCAATTATTACATATACAGTGTGTTATTTTAATATTTCGAATAAATGTAAATTTTTCCTGAAGCCGAACCTGGATTTTCACTTCGCCCGATAGGTGAATGAATTCAAATCCCCAAGTATAAGCTCCATACCAAATATAAGAAAAATATACTGGATAGTTCAATACTTATAGAGGAATGAATAATTATTCGAAATCGATAAATCGCCCTGTATCTCCGTTATGAAGACTCTAAGACCTATCAAATATGGTATTTTCATAACCACCTTGGTGACCCCTATGTACCATTGAAATATTTCCCTTCATCTGTGAAACACCCTGTATGGTTGGCGTATGTTGAATTTGTTTTCTTTTTCATAAAATTCATCTTATGTTCATGAATGCGCTGATTAAACGTACGACCTGTCTGACCGATATATACCTTAGGACAAGATCCACATTTGAGTTTGTATACCTCTGGTTTTTCGAATTTAGAAGTTTTGCCTTTATTATTCTTGATAAATCTTCCCAACCTGTTATTGGTTCTATATGCTACTTTTAAGTACTGTTTATGTAGAAAAGAAGCTAATTTCTCAGTTGATGATCCGAAATAGGTTAAAGTTCTATAATTTTGATTATTATTCTTGATGGTAGAAACTTCTTGAATAGCTTTATGATGAAGTTTTTTAGAAAGAATACTGTCTATCAAATTAACGTTGTATCCGTTGTTGATTGCAATTTGTTTTATGATATTGAGTTCTTTATTGAAATTTAATTCCGAAAGAGAATTATATGCTGCAATTTTATGTTGATAAGGGTGTGTTGAATTATAATGAATAGTGATATCAGTGTGGGAAGGTTTATGGAAATTTGATAAATCATGTTTATCGTTAATTTTACTTATTGTCAAATCTAAGAAATTGATTGAATTTTCAGTCTCTATTTCTATTGTGAATTTAATGTTTGGATGTAATTTAATGTAGATATTGTGCCTAATTTCCGAAAATGGAGGTTTATCATACCTGTCCACAGGTTGGGAAAGTAAGATATATAAAAGTTAAGCAAGCCAACGTTAGTTTAGTTCATTGTACCAGTATATCACCTGACGAAGCTACTGTGTTAGCAAAACATGTCATGTGTTTGAGAATTTTGTGGAAATCTTATCGTTTGTGAAGTTTTTACATTTAAAACAATATTTTTCCAACTAATTTTCAGAAACTTACATCATGTAATGGGTAACTTGCTACATACGCCCTTTCATGCAAAAGCCTGTCTATTCCAAAAGCAAATTCATGAAGGGGATTATTATTAAATCTCTTTCTGTCCAAAATGAACTGGACTATTCTTGAATGTATTGCAGGTGTGAAAAAATTGGGTGAATCAACATGGAACCTATGAAAAACAACCAAGTAACAAACTAATTAATTTAATGAAAAAACTGTGCTCACAAGTATTCTTTGTCTCTGCTGTAGATGGCAGTGAATCTATGACCTTTATCTGGAAAAGTTTTTTTGTCAACAAAAACCCGCTCTTTTATTTTATCCCACTGATCATTAATTCCATCAAAAATGAAATTTGTGTGTGAGGAAATCTGCCTTATTAAAGGAATCTGAAAAAATATATGATCTATCAACAACAACAAATATTGTCATTATATGTAAATGGGAAAAAATTTTAATAGCAAATCAAATTCCAAGCCAAAAAAACAATACCTTCTGTTTGATACTTCTTAAAATGTTATAATGTTCATAGTCTGGTGGATTGCTACATAGCTCCTAAGAAAAAATTAAATGTGAGAAAAGCAGGAAGAGGGCAAGAGAAATAAAGGAAAAAAAATGGTGAGAACTACTTCAAAATAAAAGAGACATTCTTATTTTGAACTCCCAGTACATTACCTCTTTCATTGGCATTCTAAGCTTCAAAATTTCACTGTATCTCCTCAAAATCTCTTTTGGAGCATGTATCTAAAAAATGTCACTAGTTATACTCATATCAATAATAATATTTGCATACATTTAATCAGTGAGTAAATAATGAATAACCCAAAACAGGTCATTTATTCATACAAATGAGTCATGGAAATGATGTCAACAATTTTTTCAAGTTGTTCCTCACCACACAAATTTACTGAATTCTAATTGTACACATTTGCAACATAATGAAAAGAACACTGTAACCCTCATTTTTCTGATATCAATTTTCCCAAAATAAATGAATGACCTCTTTTGGAGATCATGTCAAGAATGTAGTGCTGACCTTCACAAAATTCAGACCATTGGGTTCTTGAGCCTCATATTCAATCTCCAGTCCTTCCTTTAATAAGTTCATCTCAAAAATCTGTCTTTTCATGTAAGCTTCTGGGGTAATAGAATGCTGATCAAAACCATCCCAAACCAGAACATAATCCACAGATCTCACACTATCCTTGAAGAATATCTTTGGGGTAGCACATTTGACAGCATTGCACTGATGACTAGACTCTTTACAACACAGGTGTTCTTCACAAGGTGTCTCTGCTGGACCCAAATTAGGGTCCATGTCTTCTGTGCCTAGAGATTCTTGTTGTACAAGTATTTTCTGAGAGTGAACATGTTCTGCATCAAAGTCCCTGAATAATATGATTAAATAAGTATGGTTTGGGAATAGCATGTGTACAGATGGATGATGAAAAAAGTCAATAATTATTTAATTATAGTAAGTGGTTATCCTACACACCTCTCAGTATCCATTTCAGAATCTAAATTCTCACCACTCTTGTATAAACTGATGACAGACATTGCAGATATATCTGGTTGAGAATGTTTATTGATATCACAGTACATTCCATTGTTGTAAATAACAGATCTTTGGTCTTTGGTACCATGAAGATGGTTCAAAGGAGTACACTTAGGTAATTGGGACTCTTCTAAATTATTTGCATGATGATTAATAGAAACAGTATTTTTATTCTTTGTAGCTGTTTTGCTAAATAGTATTTCTGGTGTGGAATTTGTGCGTAATAATGGAGATGTGTCTGAACTGATTTTGAGGCCATTTTTGAGGGTATGGTCCATAAATTCTGAAAGAGAAAAATCAATCAACAATGAAAATAGCAGGACGAAAAATCTGCAGGATGAATATTTTGATAGTGATTCATGGAAAAAGACGACATTTCTTTTGTGAGCAAAGTACATTGTACTCAAATCTGTGATACCTTCTCTAAATAGAATACATAATAATCCAAAAATAGTTATATAGATCTTTGAAATTTTAATATTATATTTCTTTTTTTATAAATAATTAATTTACCTTAATAAAATCACAAATCTACCACCAAGTCAGAATTGAAGAAAACTGTTTCCAATGAAAACCTTTCACATTATTTTCGGGTTTTCCAGAAGATGTTTTTCTTGAGCTTTTTCAAATTCGTTCCTAAAATACTAACCTACAATTCCTACAAGTTTGATTTATGCAAATGTGACATTCTCATGTAAGCAGTCTCTCGACAGTCATAAAACTAGTAGCATGCTGCTGTGCTTCTTTTCATGTTGGCAACACTGGGAATACCTTAGATCATCTAAAATTCTAACCTTTGATTGTTAATCTGTGGTACAGCGTGCTGTATAATTATTCAGTATCATGCACAGACAGATGGAGAAAATTCCTTGTAACAAATGTCTCTAGACATGTCGCCAGGTTAGGCTATGCAGTCTGCAGTTTGCCCTTCCTCTGTCCCAAGGCTAGTAGAAAAACCTTGGCCTCTGCCTCTCTACTCACGTTGTCTACATTTGAGTTCAATTATGCCACAGCGCCTCGCCCTCCAGATCACTATATGTAGTACTGCCTTTAGTGCTTAACGACCACACAGTTCAAAGAAAAATAAGAAGAAGAATGTCCTGCCATACTTCACGATGCTCCCTCCAATTATGGATTGCGTCATTATGCTTTTGTGTGTTTGTGACTACACAAGTTATTTTTTCAAGTTCACATATTTTGTTTAATTTTATTTTTGATTTTTAGTTTCAACAATTGCAAAATGGGGAAACGAAAGAAATCTCGTTCTCGTTCCCCCAGTAGGGGAAGAAAGATGTCGAAAAGAGACTTGGAAAAAGAAATATCATTCCTTAGGGAAAAGCTTATTGCTGGCCGCCATGTTGACAACTATAGTCGTAGCCGTAGCCGACACTCCCGCCAATATTATGATAGTTCTGGATATTATGATGGACCCAGTAACCCCAGACAGGGTCACTCATCCGGAAGTTCAGGGCGTCGGCGGTCTCGTTCTAGGTCCAAGTCGGATCATTCTAGGTCCAAGTCGGATCATTCTAGGTCCAAGTCTGATCATCCTAGGTCTAGATCCAGGTCCAAATCCAAGAATGTGAGTCCTAGAAGGCCACTGGCCCAAGTCCGTAGCCCCCAGGGTACGGCAGACTCACCAGTATCTAACCATACCAGAGGATCAAGTGTCCTTGATATGGATTCTGAAGATATTGACTTGGAATTACCAGCTTTAGAGGAAGAAGAGGTTAAGAAAGATGAGAAAACGCTGGACAAAGAAATCTTACATATTCTTGGTGAAGATAAAGAGAACACTGATGTATTCGAATTACATAAAGTTCTAAAGAATAGATGGGAGATCATCCTCAGTGAGGGTCTCAGGAAAGAAGAAAGGAATGAGTTTTTGTCTAAGTATAATTTTCCATCAAACTTATGTGAGTTAGGTGCTCCTGAACTTAATGCAGAGTTTGTATCGGCATTGCCTGACTCTGTTATTCAAAAAGATAAATTCCAAATGTCAAGACAAAACCAACTGGGGAAAGCTATGGCAGCCCTTGGTACATCCTTGAATATAATATTAGAGAATGATTCTTTGGATAACCATATAAAACAGGAAATTTTGGCACCTCTGAGTGATTCTGCTAAAATATTGGCAGATCTGCATTATCGCATGTCGATGTCAAGAAGAGCAGTGTTTGCTCCTCACTTTAAACAAAACATAAAAGGAATAACTACAAAATTGCCAGTAGGGCAATTATTGTATGGTAGCAAACTAAGTGAGACCATAAAAAGTGCTAAAGCTTTGGAACAGGCAGGTAGGGATCTAAAACCACAATTCAACAACTGTGCAAAAAAGCAGTATAATCACAATCAGGAAAGATTTAAAAAACATTTAAACTCCAGGGGCCTGCCAGGGTATCAGAGGAGGGACCCTCGGCAACAAAGGCCTTACCCTCATCAACAGAGGTCTTACCCTCATCAGAGACAGAAACGACATCAGTATTGAATAAGGTAGGTAAGATAGCTGGACGTTTAGAAAAATTTGTTGATGTATGGAAAAACATTCCTAACATCAGACAAGAACAAATTAAGATTGTGGAAGGATATAAGGTTCCTTTTACAAAGACACCTAAGCAGATGAAGGTAATTCAAATGCAAAAGATTACACCTGAAGTCATTAGCGAAATTAATAAATTAAAGAAAATAGGTGCTATTTCAAGAGTTAAGCCAATGGCTGGCCAATTCTTATCATCATTCTTTTTGGTAAATAAACCAAATGGTGGAAAAAGGTTCATATTAAATTTAAAGAATTTAAATACATTTCTATCAGCTCCTCATTTCAAGATGGAAGATACAAGGCTTGTCATGAAATTGATGCAACAAAATTGTTTCATGACGACTATTGATCTTAAGGATGCATATTTTCTGATCCCTGTTTGTAAGGAATTCAGAAAATTTTTGAGTTTCCAGGTGAACAAAACACTCTATTCTTTTAATTGTGTACCGTTTGGTTTATCCACGGCCCCATCATTGTTTACTAAGCTTTTGAAACCAGTTTTGACATTGTTTCGCAGTAAAGGTATTACATGTGTTGTATATTTAGATGATTTCTGGGTAATGGGCAAAACCATGGAGAGCTGTCAGGTTGCTACAGACGTTGTAATTCAACAATTAGAACGCCTAGGATTCATTATTAATTTGGAAAAGAGTAATCTAAAACCTCAACACAATTGTACTTTTCTAGGTTTTATTTTTGATTCCTCTGACATGTCCATTAAATTGACAGACAATAAAAAACAAAAAATTTTGAAGTGGATAACATTGTTGAAAAATAGTGAATATATCCAGATCAGAAAATTTTCTCAATTTATAGGAAATTTAGTAGCTGCATGGCCTGCATATAAGTATGGAAAGCTATATACCAGAAAGTTTGAAAGAGCGAAACATCTAGCTTTGAAAAAATACAATCAAAACTATAATAGATCTATGTGTATACCTCTCGATATTCGTGACGACCTCTCCTGGTGGGAAAACAATGTTTTATGTTCTAAAAATAATATTAGACTAGATAGTTTCGTACTTGAGATTTACTCTGATGCCTCTAAAACAGGATGGGGGGCATATTGCCAGGGACAAAGCACACATGGTTGGTGGGATGCATCAACGAAGTCCAAGCATATAAACTACCTTGAGTTGTTAGCTATATTTTATGCTTTGAAATGTTTCAGTAAAGATTTACAGTCTAATAATATTTTGTTGAGAGTCGACAACACAACAGCAGTTTCCTATATTAACCGGATGGGAAGCATTATTCATGTAGAGTTGAATAACCTAGCAAGGCTCATATGGAAATGGTGTGAAGAACGAAATTTGTGGCTGTATGCATCCTATATACCATCAAAAAGAAATAAAGCCGACGAAAGTTCTCGAATTCTTTCATTGGAGACGGAGTGGGAATTGAACAGTAATGTTTTTAAAAATATAACAGATCAGTTAGGTCAACCCAGCATTGATCTGTTTGCATCCAGGGTTAATGCAAAATGTTCATCATATGTGTCTTGGAACAGAGATCCAGATGCGGTGGCCGTTGATGCATTCACCCTTCCATGGGATAGGTTCTTTTTCTATGCCTTCCCACCTTTCTCCTTGATATTACGAACCCTGAAGAAAATCAGTTCAGATGGGGCAGAGGGTATAGTTGTAGTACCCCATTGGCCTTCACAACCATGGTTTCCTCTTTTTCAAGAATTGTTAATATCAGAATCAGTGATTATTCAACCGGATATTAACCTTCTTTCTTCTCCCTTTTGGGAAGTTCACCCACTCCACAAATCGCTTTCCCTGGTGGCAGGCAGGTTATCTGGGAAGCATTCTCGAGAAAAGGATTTCCTGTAGAAGCCATTGAAGTAACCTTACAATCGCTAGCTTCAACTACCCTAATACAGTACAGCTCATCACTTAAATCTTGGTGGGGTTTTTGTCAATTGAAAAGCATAGACCCGTATAATGCAAGCAATAGTGATGTAGTCAAATTTTTGCAGAATGAGTTTTCAGCAAAACCAATCAAATATGGTACTTTTAACCAACACAGATCTGCGCTTTCCTTGATATTGCCAGGGGATATTGGAAAGGATATACTAATTAGAAGATTTCTAAGAGGTATTTTGAGGTTGAGACCACCAAGGCCAAAATACAATGTAACCTGGGACCCTCAACGTCTTTTGGACTACATAAACACATTAGCAGGGGATGATGATTTACCTTTTTTGCTGTTATCAAAAAAAGTTGTAACCCTATTAGCCTTGGCAACTGGCCAGAGATTACAAACGATTCATTTAATAAGGATAGAGAATGTAATATTTTTTCCTGAAGGTTTGAAAATCCATGTTCCAGATAGGATCAAAACGATCAATGTTCAACCATATATGGAAATACCTTTTTTTCGTGAAAATGAAAAATTATGTGTTGCTACTACAATTATGAATTATATCAATAGATCAGCTCCGATGAGAGAAGAAGACAACGCCTATCTGTTTATCACTGCAAGAGAACCGTTTCACAGAGCAACTAGAACAACAATTGGGCGATGGATAAAGTGGATGATGGGTAGTGCTGGCATAGACACTAATCGCTTCACAGCATACTCCACAAGGCATGCCTCAACTTCCGCGGCAGCCAGGAGAGGCGTTAGTTGGGATGTCATTAGAAAATCTGCTGGATGGACTAAAAATTCGCAGGTTTTTGGCCGATTTTATAACAGACCATTAGAGTCTGAAATGAATTTTGCTGAAGCACTTTTACAGTAATTTGTATAGAACTTTTCCTAGACAAATATATTTTGTCCAGAAATGATGGAAATATATAATTTGATTCATGATTTAGTTTCTTTCACACATACCCAGTGATTTTTTAACTGGATGATGAGAGATATATTTGCAATATTTTGTTATACTTTAAACCTCTACATATAGTGATCTGGAGGGCGAGGCGCTGTGGCATAATTGAACGATCAAACGAACTTACCTGTGAGGTTCGATCGTAATTATGCTAAGCGCCTCGCCCGAACAGATCACTCCCTCCCAAAAACATGATGCTGCATTGCTACCCCATCCCTTTTTTTTTTTCAAAATATTGCCGCTTTAAAAGTAATGACGCAATCCATAATTGGAGGGAGCATCGTGAAGTATGGCAGGACATTCTTCTTCTTATTTTTCTTTGAACTGTGTGGTCGTTAAGCACTAAAGGCAGTACTACATATAGTGATCTGTTCGGGCGAGGCGCTTAGCATAATTACGATCGAACCTCACAGGTAAGTTCGTTTGATCGTTCAATTTCAATTGGCAAGGT